GAACACAACAGGCAGACTAGCAGCTATTGCGGTAGAGGAATAACATTTATCTGTGGGGATAACAAAGTTCATATTAAACCGATTAAGGATATTAAATCTCTTTCTAACAGTGTGGTCATCTGACTGCACCCAGGAGACAGCAGGTAATCCCACCCCTCATTCACAGAACTGCCCTGAGGATCCCAGCTTGGCCTGAGGACATGACTGAACACATCCACGCTGAGCACACGGGCAGGGAATGGGGCTTTACACCCGGCCTCACCTTGTCCATCCAAGCCAAGAACCCCTCGGCCATGTGCTCCAGCGCTGGGGTGAGCCCACATCCACGTACACTGAGTCACGGTGGATGGCAAACAAGTCTGGGCTGGAGAAGAGGTTCAGCTGCTGCTGCAGGCAGCCCCAGCAACACAACCGTGGTGCCTGGCATTTCAAAAGGCTGACGCCCAGCTCTGCCCCAGTGCTGGCAGAGAAAAGCCAACACGAATTCCCAGCTCTTCCCTGCACCTTCCCTTCAGCCCGAGCTCCCAAGCCACCCCACACCCCTGTCAAACAGCCCAAAGCAGCTGCCCCACACAGAGTTACAGAAATAACTCAGTGCTGGGGAGCACAGACTGGAGGGTTGACGTGATCCCACCAGAGCAGCACCTCCAGAGCCTGCACCCACACAGCCCTGCGAGAGGGCTCTTGCAACATGGTGTATTGCAAGCAGCTGAAGGAAAACCGTGTGTTCCACCACCCCAAAACCCTCCCAGGAGGAACCAACCGTCCTGACTGCATTTGCCAGGAGAGTCCCAAACACCCCATCGAGGACCTCCCTGTTCCACTGCGCGGGAATGATGGTGCAGAGACCAACTGCCTGGAGAACGTGGCACAAGGAATTTGCTGCTCAGCAACTCGGATTCAAATGCAGGGCTGGTTCCCATTGCCAAACCACAGCGTAAACCCCCGGGAATTGAGCTCTAACTAGGACAGACCCAACTGCTGCAAACTGGATGAGATCACTTCCAAGTTCCTGTTTAACAGGTGCCAGCTCCTTCTGCACCTGCTCCGTGCACCGGGATCAGACGGCCTCCGCCGCGCCGGGAACATCTGCTCAGCTCCCTCAGAAGCTGCAGGAAAGGTGGCTGGAAGAAGGAACCAGGCCTGACCATCCTGCCCCATGCCCAGAGCAGGGAACCTGGGCCAGGTGGAAACAGAGAGCAAGAAAACTGTGCTGGTTAATGGGGAGAGGAACCCACAATCAGCTTGAAACTTTATTTCCATATAAAAGAAGAAAATATTCCTCTCCACAATAAAGGCAGCAAGAGCTCGCCCAGCTCTGGAGCTGTGCTCCTGGCCAAGCTGGAGGAGGGCAGGATATTTCTGTCTCCAAGCAGGACACCTTCACATGTCAGCTCTACCATTCCAAGGGTAATGCTGCGACTCTGGCAGGAATTAACACCTGGCACGGGAGGATGCTCCCAGCAGCCTTGCCCCAGGGCCCAGCCCTTTCCAGGCAGGGCTGGGGAAACATGGGAACACAGCAGGATGACGCCACATGAAGAGGATCCGATGCAGCTTTTGGCCATCACTTACACACCTGCCTCAGCCCCAAACAATGCTCGGTTTGCTCAGTCCAAAGCCACCCAGGACCAAGTTGCTTTCACCCCTCCAGAGGCAGGTTGGAGCCCTGTGGCAAAGGTTGGCTGCTCTCCTCATCTGAGGTGGCTGCACCCGCACTGTCCCCCTCAGCCTCTGCAGCATGGCCGGCAGCCTCCAGCTTCCTTCTCCTCTTCAGATGGTGCAGGTGGGATTTGGATCGTGTGTGAGCTGAAGGGAGAGGCAAACAGAGCCTTTAATTCTGGGGAACACCCAGCACCATCTCCCTGTGCAGCGTGGGGCACCCTCCCTTCCCATCCTCCTGTACAATTCATTCCTGCAGAGAAGTGAATTCCCAAGCCCTGCCCTGGCCATTTCTCAGGAAACTATCATGGCTCAGAGGGGGACAACCCTCCCGAGCCTCCTCCTGATCACAGGAAGGATGGGAGAAGCACAAATCCCAGTTTGGTATACACAGAAGACTCCAGATTGTCAGGACTCACTCAACTCTCCCAGGAAATCTGTTCCCAGCCGAGACAAAACTGGGAGGATGGGAGAAAGGAAAGTGTCACCAAAGAGGCGGCACACTGCAGGATGCAGGCAAGGTTGTGCAACTCGCCACCACCCCATGGAGCCCTGCCAGGACCATTTATAGGCCTAGACGCCTGCACCGCAGCACTGGGATCTCCTGCAGATCTGCAGAGCAGCTGAGGATGGAGCCCGGAGCATAATTAGGCTTTTGCATAACTCCAGGGCAAGGCCCCCAGCCATGAGAGCACTTAGCAGGAAGCAGAGGGAACAGAGGTGTAATCCCTGGGATGCAACTTGTCCTGACACAGCGTGGCAGCAGGAGCTGCACTTGTTTGAAATCACAGAGTTAAGGGCAGTAAAACCTCCTCTATCAGTGGTGTTACCTAAGTAGAAGGTGCTTTGTCTAACCAGACCCATGAACCATCCTAGCAGGGTGGTTTTGCTATTCCCAAGAGATCAGAGCAGCAATTAAAACTTTCCAAGCAGAGCCTTCATGAAACGAGGGGATGTGCTCACTGAATCAAGGCTCTCAGGTGTTTTCCAGACATCCTTTTCTGCCAAGGGATGAAGTTACATGCAAAGCTGCTGCTTTATCACAATTGCTGTAGGGTCACCTCAGCCTGAAATCGTGTCTCACCTCTTACAACTTGTCACAAGCAGCACCAAAGCTCCCAGTGGCTGGAGGAGGTGCTGCCTGCTGCTGCTGCCTGGGAGGTGTGCTTTGAAATCCACACAAATTGTAAAATTAGATAGAACTTTCACATCTCCCAGACCCAGTGGGGTACTGGGAAGCAGTTCCCAGAACTATCTGTAACTTGTCTACGGAAAACAGAGCAGATTGCAGAGCAGCTCAGCCCCCACTACTGTTTTCACTTCCCTTCCAGCTTTTACATTTTGCACTTACAAGTAACACCCAGTTTGGGACCATTTCTCTCCCACCATCTGGGGATGTGAGCCAAATTCAGCTGGATGCAGAGAACAACAGCTGGTCTTGGTTGAGGAAGGTACTGGCATCATCTAAGAGAATTTGGGATGACATCCCTGGAGGACATGCAGTCGCAGCTGTAGTGTTTGGGGGGGATTTTGTGGAGTTCCCACTCAGCCACAAAACCTGCTGGACCCTGATAGCTTTCAGAGTCCTCTGGTTCTGGAGGAGGCAGAGCTCCTTCAAAGCACCTCAGAGCTGAGCCTGGCTAAAATAACAATTGCACTTACAAACTGATCTCATTACAATGAGCTTCCTATTCTGAGCCTACTTCCATCTTTGCTTTCAGCAGTTCCCTGGATCAATAGGAATAAGTGACTCGTTCAAATCCGATGACCAACGACCTGCAGAACTTATCTCTGCATTGTGTCTGCACACACCATGTTTGGGCAACACATGGAGATTTACCAGTTCTGTTCCTGCAGCCAGTTTCTCCACTACTTTTTGTTCCTGGTTCTCAGCATGAGCCTCACAGCACAGATAAATTCACAGAGTTAATCTGATTCCAGCTGAGCTCGTTTAAAGTCAGTCTATTGAAAATAGAAAATCCTTTTCTATTACCACTGCAGCTAGCAAGACTTCTTTTTTAAAGACTAAACACACAAATAGAAGACACTGGAGCAAAACTGAGCTATTAAAAACCATTCCAAAAGTTCCATTTTACACAAAATTTTAGAAGAAACAAATCTCTGCTTTTTGACACAATACCTGGAAGTGCTAAAAAGGGCCAGCAGCCCTCACTAAACAAACAGCTCTGAGGCTTGATGGCACCTACAGATCCCCATGCCTGGCGTGACGGCGGGGCAGGGGCTGGGTGCAGGGAAGGGGGGAAGCCTGACAGATGGCTGCTGTGGCACCGCTCCTGCACCCCCCTGGGCTTGCAAATGGCTCCTTTCATCCCGGGCTGTAAACAATCCCTGAAAGCCCAAGATGAGGTGCTGAGGGTCATCCGGCCAAGGAAGCTGCTCTGCTGCATCCCTCTGTGTAACTGCACTGGCTGGGCCCCCTCCCAGGTCCTGTCCCCCCCCCACCAGTCCTACCTGCCCACTCCCTGTCCCCGATGATGAGTCTGTCGCAGAGCTCACACATGTGGTGACTCCGCTTGTTCTCCTTTACATCGTGCTCCATCTTCACAGGCTCTGCCGGGGGCTCCCGGCCCTGTAGGTTAAATAATGTCTCCGTTTGGGTTCTGCTGTGAAATCTGCCTGGCTGTGTTCACTCTGGGATGTGAACCTGCCAGACGCAGACACTAAGGTTGGCAGGACAGACGCTGCAGTTATACCATGCAAGACAAGTGGAGTTCTGCCACTGCGAGGAAAGCCCAAGGCTGGACTTGGAAGCAGACAGCAGAGACTAAGTGCCAAGTTAATGGGCCTGGAGACCACCAAGAAGTTGGCTTCTTGGTCATGGCTCACATGTTAACTCGTTACCCAGTACCTGGATGAAGCTCTCCACAATCTCCAGAGCAGGTTTCAGCACATTCTCTTCCCACCGCAGGAGATCAGACACCTCCAAGCCATACACTGGGGGCACATTGGGGCCGGGACCTACAGAGACACAGAAAGGCAAGTCAGCACACCAAAACACCCCCAGCATCATGTCACAGTGCCCAAGGGGCTACACTATGAGCAGAGTGTTCTGGTTTTTCCTATCTAGTTGTCCTTTAGCATTCAGAAGCAAACAGCACCAGCCTTTCCAGAGCCCAAATTATCAAAGACCTCAGGTGGGGGGGGTGGGGGGTACCCCTCTCACAAGGAGCATGAGCACCTAAGAATTCAAGCAAGCATCTCCATGGTTGTCTGTCTGGGACAGCATTGTGAAATCTGAGCACGCCAACAGCCCAGCACAGCAACAAACACTTCATCACTGCCATGGTACATGGGAGGCCACAGGAGATCAAAAAGCTAGATCCGGACACAAAGCCATCACTCAAAGCTTACAAGGAGGTGCAGGCACAGAGTCTGCATGAGGAACGTGTGGCTGCAGGGGCAAATGCTCCCAGCTCCCAGCTGCAGACCACAGTGGGAGATGCTTTACTAAATGCCTCAGACAGGGCCCAAGTTTCCAAGCCACCCCTTTGGCCTCCCCCAGCCCGGTGTGAGGGCTGCAGACAGCAGCAATCAGAGCACCCGCTCGGACAAAGCCATCGCAGGCTGCTGCGTGCCAGGCCCCAGCAGCTGCTGCTTCTTAGCACTGTAACCACAACCAACCTCCCCACAAAGCTGGTCTGAAGCACACCTGCCACCAGAAAGGTGAGCCACAGCCACCGAGCACATGGCTCCAGGACAGCTCTTGCACCTCCTTCAAAGCCCATCTTTTGATCCGAGTTTCTCCCTGCCTGAGGGTTTTTTTCCTTTATTTTATTGTTGTTTTGCCCCTACCGAGCACCTTTCAACAAGTGCCCGGCTCCCAGCTGCTGCTGCTGGCCCTGCTCCAGGGCTGGGGCTGCGATGGGGAAGTCCTGCTGGCTCCCAGCCACTGCAGCCCGCACAGCCCATGCCCAGCGCGGCCCACGGGCCAAGGTCCGGCTGCCCCCCAGCCACTGCAGCCAGCACAGCCCATGCTCAGAGCGGCCAACGGGCTCATGCTCCTAAGCTGGAGGGCAGCGTCAACTGGGCACCATGTGTGGCACCATGCTGAGCACCCAGCCTCTCCTGTCCTCTCCTGAGCAGAGAGCAGGGGATGTGCTGAGGAAAGATGGGAGGTGAAGAACAGGGATGGTGAGATAGGGCAGGAACAGAGGACTCACGTTTCAGGAAGCGGTTCCGGACCCATTTGTTTTGCCTCCGGGCGTATTTCTTGGTCACCTGCTTCAGGGCCTGGATCCCTTTGAAACAGAGGCATTAAAACAAAGGTGAGTGCAAGGCTGGAAGCTGAGCTCAGAGCAGAGTGAAAGAGGCTGTCAGCTCCAGTGGGGGAAGTCACACAAGACAAAGGTTTGTGCTGGATGGTACCACGCTCACTTAAGAGAAGTGTCTCTACTCTCAGTCTGGAGGTCTCTGAGCCAGCAGTGAGAAGAGGCCAAGCCTGGCAGGCAACACAGAGACAGTGGCAGTGTGGAAGGGCTGGATGTGTCCCAAATATCCCTGAGTGAACATGGGGTGGAAAGGGCCGAAAACCTCTGCCCTGAAGCTTTAGCAGGTAGAACAACCTTTTAAGGGCTGCACTGCTCTCACAATACCCACCTGCACAAATGGAGCTCAGGACTCCTCGTCCTCCCCACAGCTGGCCCACAGGATGGGTGACCACGGCACCACCTTTCAGTATTCAGTGACTTATTGTATCCCTCTGTAATTGTCTCCTGAGGAGACACAACAAGCCCCTTCTGCACCAGACTTGTTTTCAAGCCTCTTATTACTTCTGTGGTTTCCTCAGACTCCCACCTCCACTTTGCACTGAACCCTCCTTGACACAGGTCAACCCTGCCTGGGCCCTCTGCTGTGCTGAGGAGCAGAGCAGCTCTGTCCTCTAACAACAGTCCTGACACTCCAGAGTGGAACATGCCATTGAAGAGTGCATCACTACTGACTCATGCTGTGATCTGCTAGATCCCCAGGTTCCTTCCCACCATAATGCTGCGTAACCAGATGCTGAGTTCTGCTTCATTCTTTCTTTCTAGCCCTGTTCTCCACAGCATTCACACCCCAGCTGGGATCTCACCACCCAGGTCACTGGTGGACCAGCTCCAGATCCCAAGACACACTGTGCCCAGTACAACTTGCAGGGAGGCCGGGGGAAAGGGAGGGAGGAATTGCTCTGGGTGTGCTCAGCAATGCTCCATGCACTGAAAAAGGAGTCCCTGTCCCCCTGGGCTGGCAGAAATGGAAAGTGCAGAGAGAAAGGTGCAGCTCAACCCCAACAAGACCTGCGCTAAGGTCTGAACCTGGTTCAGCCCATCAGGCAGTGTCACCTGGAGCTGCATGGGGCTAAGGATGTAGGGCACACAGGGTGCTCCTCCCACCTTTTTGCAGCAGAAGGGCACTGGTCTCAGGTGAGCAATTCCCTTCACTGATGAGGTACTCATGGAACTCCTTGAAGCCAATGGACTGGAAGATGCCATGCTGGTAATCCTGCCTGGAGAAGACGACAAGAGGCAGGGGTCAAGGCCATCTCCTGCCGAACAGTGGGAAAGCTCAATCCTCCCCTGAAGGGGCGAGGTCTCTGTATCCCACCCTGCAGGAACCTCCCCAGGTGACACAAGCCCACGGGCTCAGGGGACAAGGCAAACCAGGCACACAGGAACACAGACCGGTGCCTTCAGTGCCACCCCATGTCAGCTTCCTGTGTGGATGCTTAGGCAGCACCAAGTCGCTTTTACTGAGGGAAAACAGCAGGTATGGCCCAGGCAAAATGGATTCTCAACACTAAGACCCACAGGGACTCTGCTGTTTGACCAGCTCTGCTCCAAGGGTTCTGGCAGGAAGACCAGGAAGTGCTGGAGGATCTGGCTGGTCCACACCTCTCCACGAGGGTGCCCCTGCAGAGCCAGGAACTCAGAGCAGACGCTGCCAGCAGAGGGCTGGGAACAGCAATACACCAGAGGTGCTGCAGGCAGAGTTGTTTGGGGCCCTGCGCGGCCCTGGCGGGGGGGAGCGAGAGCAGGAAGGGAGCTGGCTCCTCACCCACCGGTTCTCAGCCCCCTTCTGCTGGTGGTAACGGCGAGGTGCG